TCTGTTTTTGATCACCACGGCCTTAGGAGCATTACTGGTGTACGATGGCCACATCACAATGGCGACCAGGATGTTCGATGGAGGATTTTCAGATCAGACAGATTTCGGCGGCTGCTGAGCAGTGTAATTTCTCTGCGCAGATTTCAGTGACTTGGGCATGTGCTTTGCTTGCCTACTAATCGTGTTCTTCGCCGTGCACTCTCCGCGCGCGCAGTAGACAGCTGAAAGCGAAGGCAAGGTGGCCAACGTATGACTTGGGTCAGGAGCATGTAGGAGTTAGCCTCAAAGTTAATCGTTGCCTGATGCTCTCGACTCCCTGGCTGGGGTGTGAAAGGCCAGGAACACACAGCTGGAAATACTTTTGGATATGGCAAGAAACCGTGCGCAATGGCTGGCCTGTTGTGACTCACTATTCCGATGAACATCGTTTTTACCTCCGCCTTCGTTTGTTTATTATATTTTCCATTCGTTGTCACACTATACCAATTGTACTATTGACCATGTTATATTGTTGGCGGCATCCGGTTTCGGATTTGCCTGTCACTGTGGCCAGCCACAGGACGCCTGCGCCTACAGAGGGACCATGGGTGGCTTGCGCTGCACCATCACAGCTCCAACCACACACCCCATATCCAGTGTAAACCCGAAGGAATAAGACCGGGAGGCATGCGGATGGGAACCACGTTTCATCAACGGAGCCGGCCCACACTCCTTCACAGGCAAACACAAGCACGCTGTATTTGGGGAATCAAGCGCACACAAGGCGGTGGCTGGACCGTAGTCCGCTCCACACTGAGTGCATGGAACCACTCTTTGAGCCTAGCACGACCACAAGGACCGTGCACCCCCTCCCCTCCAGCAACGACCAACTGTCTCCTGAAGCCAGTATGGACGAGGTAGTGGGTACTTGACAGGTAGGCACCTTGTCAACATGCACATCAAGCGCAGCCACACCAGGGATATCAAGCAACAGCCAATCACTTGAGAGGAAGCTAACAAGGAAAATAAATCGAGTAATGCATAAGGAAACGGTGACATAAATCTTAAATTAATGAACATATGAAATAAGTTGTTTACAAACGAATCCTAGATAAGTTCACGAGGTCAGAAAGTATATTTTACGGAAATGCCACAAACACGAAGAGGTTATCGAAATTAACTACAACTGGCTTAAGCGATGTGTGAAAGTTTATTGAAGAGAGTACAGGTAGACATCTATATGAGAAAGAAAAGCATTAGGATAGAACTGCAAACCCACCACCTGAAATAAATAGACTTAGCATGCATTCACGCGGTTAGTAAATCGACTGCAGCGTACCTACAAACGCTGTGCCGGTTCTGCCAACGTTCTCAGTAGGACCCGTGGTCGCTTCCGTAGTGGTCCCGATGGGACTCACTGATGGCTCACTAGGCCTGCTTGACTCAGGCACTCGCGACTGCATGTGCTACAGCACCATGCGCTCGATATCGATGAAGCAAAACCCATCGCTGCTTGCCGCTTCCGCACTTTCCGCTTCTTCTCTGCATGTATGAGGTCTTTATCCCGCACTTCAGCAACTGCCTTCGTGATTAGAGCGCGCTATGCACGCTGACCAACCGCCTTCGTTTCCCATGATCTGCAATCAAGATTAGAACGTGAGAGGCTCACTTTGATCATGTTCTGGTAACGTAACTTTGGTTTCCCCGCATGCCGCTTCCCAATACTCAGCTGACGATATAAGAGTTGTTTCGGTATGCGCGTTGAATCCATGCACCACACATGACCGAGCCACCTCAGTTGTCTCAGCAAAAGTATGCAGTCCACTGAATACATTCCATTACGGCGCAATACTTCCGTATCAGCAACTCTGTCGCCCCAACCGATGCGCAGAATCCGCCCCAAACACTACTGATGGAACCGCTCGAGATATCGCAACATCTCGCCGTTACATCATCCACGTTTCACTGCCGTATAGAAGGACAGACAGCACCATGGATTTGTACACTAGCAGCTTCGTGCTAACGGTAAGCTGATGGTTGTTCCACACTCGGTACTCAAGCTTCTTGAATGCTGCCGCTGCATTCGACACGCGCATACGCAGCTCACTGTGTAGCTGTTGATCAGTCGACATCACACTCCCAAGGTAGCAGAAGTGGGTGGCGGTTTCCAATACTTCAGCACCAATGCTGATTCGCGGCAATGCTGGAGATTGCACCTCCGGAGAAGGCTGAAAGAGGCAGACAGTTTTGCTTGTGTTGATGGTGAGCCCGAATTTGGCGGCTGTCGAAGCCAGAGCACTAGTCATGTGCTGCAACTCATCCGCGTTGTGTGCAAACACGCACAGTCGTCAGCAAACAGCAACATACGGATAATTGTCTCACAGACTAGAGTCCCCGCACCGAAACGACGGATGTTCAGCAACCCACCATCAATACGGTGCTCCACACGAACACCGTAAGCACAAGCCGCATAAAAAGCGCACGGCATCATTGCAAGAATATATATATTAAACAGGGCAGGAGCTTAGACATAGCCTTGCTTCACACCAGAGACAACTGCAGAGCCATCGGAGGTCTCTCCACTCAGCTGCATGCTGGCCCGCATACCACTGTGCAGACATTCAATTAAACTTACAATATATATATATATATATATATATATATATATATGCTAAAATGTGGGATAAATTGTCCCCAATGCTCCTTTTCTGTCTCTGCCCTAATGCACTCGAGGGTGTACTTGATCGACGACTGGAAAGACTTCTAGCTTTCTTTGGTCGGGCCTCAACGGACTTTGCCCTCTGCGGGTGTCACCGCCCACTGTAGATAAATGTAAGAGTGATAAATGCAACTGGCGTCCCTCGACTTACTCTAAATGTGCTCCAAAACTATCCAATTCAGCTGTTGTTTGGTAGCTTTCAATGCCGCACTCGCTTTAGCGACCTTGTACTACTACTAATCTGAATCCGCTACTCCGAGGTCGCGTTTGGATGATAGGTGCCAATGTCAGTCTGTTGGTGGGTTTTACCGGACCACTGGGACACTGCTTCTTCCTTGTCTCCGTATATGTCATTCATGGCACTCTTGTTGTATCGCAACAGAGTCTTACTAACTGGTTATAATAGCATTTTGTAGTTATTTTGATCGACCTCCGAAATCAATTTGGTTGTTTATGGTGTCCAAATTGAGGCACTACAAGTGCTTTCACTAAGAGTCGCTTTGGTCATTAGTCGGTAGCCTAGTGCACTTTGTCGACGGCCTGAGTTGATGTGGTATTCATCTGTTTTATCAAATTACTCCACCATCCCTAATGCGCTACAATCCAGCTTCTTCAGCGATTGTAAGCTGCACCGAATGATGTGTCATCGACGGCATTTTTTTACCCATTACCCGATCATTGTCTTTCGCGTTTTTTATCAACTGTTATCTGGAAACAAAAGCTGCTCGGTGGCATAGGAACACTTTGGAAAGCTCATCTTGAACAGATGACACTATTAGATCGGACAACAGAATCTTCTTCTTTGTCCTGCAGCTAATTTTCAAGCTCTGATACTTGTTCCATGTGTCGGTCGTTTTCTACATCGTTGCGCCCCCCCTCTAAATTACACACTGTTATCGAACGAGCAAACTGTTTTTCAACGTATGCCTTGCGCGTTTCGAGTTGCCAATCGATGGCACAACACCTTCTCATCCAGCTTAAAGTGTGCGCCCGCAACGATCTACCCCATTGTGTCATTCTTGCCATGTATTTGGAGTTATCTATCGGAGCAACATATGCCTATAATGTAGTACTACTAATACTAATAGTGATATTCTTAATAAACTGCCCTTCTTCGGTCATCTGTTGCATTATGCTCAGAACCGTATCAGTTCGCTTTGTATGATCGCTATCTATCGCTAGGATGTGCCACACACACATGGGTTGACGGCTTAAAGGTGTTACTGATGCGTTGTATCCATGGCTATCGCTTCAGTCGTAAGAATGATGATCATGAGGCATGTTGTTCTTATTGGGCATTATGATTATCCTACGGTTGCTTTACGTTTTCAGCATGCATGTCTGATTGACAAATCATAGTGAATCGCATCATGTCTATTGTCCATGTAAATGACCGGTTTTGTCGACTGGGTGGTCGTGGATGTTGCTTACTTTTTGAGCAGGATTCGCTTTTCACCATCCAAGAAGACCTATACTGAAGTATGGTCGAAGTTGATCTCATAACTCCTTTATTTTATATGAATCTTTTATTTTTCTGGCTTGGTGTGTAAGTCACATCTCCTCTTTCACAGTTTGCGCAGACTGCTGTTAGCATCTACTCTGTCGTCCTCCAATCAAAGCACAGACGGTGATTTTTATTGCAGTGTGAATCATTTCTCAGTGTCATGTGAATATTCACTGCGACCTAACAGCGATAACATTTCTTCTGTGGAACTTGGCTATTTCTTTTAAGCTGAGGCCGGCCCGTAGCCTTAAGGATCACAAGCCTGCCTGACGGCGCGGGTTCGAACATGCGTACGGACGAGGCGACCCTCACAGTATCCTTAGCCCGCGTTCGACTGGTGATGGTTGCACGGCGTACTGCTGATGCATTTTTGAGGTGAGACGAGGAAATTGAGTGCTTTAATCATATAACCACCCACACTTGCTCAACGGTCTGGACTTATCATGCTGGCGACACCCCGAACGCCTGAGCACGAGTTGATGACTCTGTCCAACGTAAGACGAGTCGACAAGTGGTCGAAGTAATGATAAGTTACGCAAGTAAGAGAAAGGCTAATTCTGAAAAAGGCTTATTTATCCTCGCGTTTAGTATAATTCCGTTTTTACCTGCACTTTTTAAAATATCATCAAGCTGGCCAAAAACGGGATGGTGTGGAAAGTCGGTGTGAATTGTGGAATCTCATCCTAATCATTTACTGTGCTTATGTTGTTCTTTCATTAGATACTCCTTTTTATTTCTATGTACTTTTTTCGGTCTTTAGGATAATGTTTCTTTTGTTGGTTCTCCCTCTCCCTCTAGCAATCTTGCCTGACCACTTCTCAGAGCAATCCTAATCGGACTGCTGAGTCCCTTCAACGTGCTGAGTCGAATGGCTTTTGTGCGATCGCGGAGCTGTACATGACTGATTTGTGGTGAGGAAGACGTCGACGATGGTTTTTTCATTCCATGATTTTGTGCCGTTCCACCGAAGTTAACATGACGCATGGATTTCATAATAGTCAATTGCTCATCTTTTCGTCTTGCTGTTGATGCTGCTGGCACACCGGCTTAATCTGCACTAATCGGGAGGATGAATTCGTCTCAATGGAGGTGGTTCGGTGTTGCTCCTCCCAATCCTGACACCCCATCCCCCGTGTCGGCCTCGTTTGGGCTCGTCAGAGGCAGATAGTCTGAGCTGGTGTGGAACTCGAGGCCTAGTGTTCTACGCCTCTAACCACTAGGCCCCGAGTTCCACCTCAGCTCAGGCTATGTCCATCTGATGAACCCAAACGAGGACGAAACCCCTTTTGGGGTGTCAATGTTGTGAGAAGCAACACTGAACCACTTCGCTTCGGATACGGTCTTTGTGCACGTAATGACCGAGGTCTAATTCAAAGTGAACCGAGATCTGAATAGAGCGGATACTCCAACTCCAACTTTAAATTCGTCTCATGTTGTTTTCCAGAGATTTCCTCTTCATCGCCTTTACAATCAAACCTTGTACACAGGCTGCTTCACTCCACATGTATTTATAAACACTGGCAAATTTCTCTCCGCAAGTGTTTGCTTGCTTGTTTCCACAATCCATTGCTTGCCATGCTTTATGTGAATCTTTCTGACGTATGTCACTATGTCCACGCTTAAAAGACTTGTAGATCCAGCCGTAGTGTCTGTTCCACAGCTCTGACGATATTTCGTTGCTGTCTCGTGCCACCGGTTACGCCTGTGGTTTCTATAGAAATTTCTTTGTTTAACTTCTGTTTGCCTAGCCTGAGCTTTTTCGTAGTCAGCAAGTATGCTCAACTTCATACTTTGTGGTCAGACGAAGCATTTCTGCGGTTCCATTCGAGTCATTAAAACTTGAAATAGTTCCATCCTTCAACACTTAGTCCTCGATTATCTTTTCGCCCCTCTGTAGACGTACAGTCTGCATGCTAGTTACCAACCGTGATCCAGAATGTGCATTCAAACACACCATGAGCGCTCTTTGTAAATGCAGCAATGCGGTGCAACGGAAACCAGAGGGTGTTTGCCTTAACTCGGTTAATAAACCTAAGCAAATTAATTGTCGGAACTGTTTTGACAGGCAGGATAGAACAACAGATGATCTCAAAGTGAACAGATTCATACAGCACTTGAATCGTGTTTCCACTTCTGGTACAGTGCCTAATGCTGAAGGTCGGACGTACTCCCAGCACATCAATAAGACGACAATTGAGGTAAACGCTGGTGAACTGATTTAACCTGCACCTGGAACAACCGGTCGAGAACTCACCATTTCAAGTCGGTTTGTGAAGAATCGGATCGTAACATTATTGGTTCATGAGGTGCGGTTTTCATCCGGACAGTGTCTAACATCGAGGTAACACTCGACAAGTTGAATTACTCAAACCGTATCCTAGCCCACATCTCGTTTGCGGTTGGATGGCTTAATCGCGTAAAGGCGTTGGCCGGCGATCTTTACCTCCCCGGATCGAGTCACAATGTTACTACCCATGTCAAACGAGTGTCAACAAATACTAGCTGCCAATACTCATTAGTTGTGTGTTTCATCAACGCTTCCAGGAATTGTTGAGCAGTTGACATTTACTAACCGACAACGAATCACTGGTCATATCCGGAACAGCCAGCTGTCCACAAACGTACCTACTGGGCTTTGTACGCGTAGCGACAAATGACCGCCTACATGTTTACCCACGAATCTGGTAATCATGTTATTATTCTGGTTGTTACTATGACTGCTGTAACTGCGTAAACATTGGTGCTGCTTCCCCCGAAACGGAATACCAGATGGGGTAGATCTAGACAGCGGACCGTAGTTTGGCGGCTCAAAATTTCGCGGTGGCGACGTGGGACTAATTTTCTACCATTTGATTACCGGTCCATATCACTGCCAATCACAAAGGAAGATCCATGTGACTGTAAGGGGAGTTACAACCACTTACCAAACTAAAGCATTCCATCTGCCTCACCTTCTCCGTCCACCATGCATTTATATGCGACGGCGCTCTCTGGTCAGTTGCCGTCGAAGTTTGCGATACTGACTATTCTTCCCCAGGTTACTGGGGTCTGCCACATGTGCAGCAAATGCTGTATTCTTCTCTGACACTAATGTGCCAATCGTCGCATTGTTCTCATCAAACCAATCAGGCTGCTTACAGTTTGCGCGCCCGATCGTCTCCTCGGCAGCAGCTCTCACCTGGTTGTGAATGTGGTGTCACAGGTCGCTCAATGTGGCTATGCAATCCACATCACACAGGCGTGCACCCATCGCCTTCTCCAGTTCACTGCGTTTCGCCACGGTACCGAGGGAGAGAATGTTAAATTTACGCCGGTTCACGGCGGGAGTGCAATACATAGATTTACGAAAATATATGTACAGTTTGGTCCCAACCAACTTGTGATCAGTGCCACACTCAGCACCACGCAGTACACGTGTCATGCGCACTTCACACATATCACGCTGACGTACGATGACATAGTCGAGCAGGTGAGCTTGACCACTCCGTGGGTGCGTCCAAGTTGCTATATCACTCGCACTCAGTGCAAACCGAGTGTTCATGTTCGTCAGGCCGTGAGTGGCACACAGTGAGAGCAGCCTGTCACCGTCCCGATTCACTTGACCAATGCGATGCGGACCGATAACATTTGTCCACACCGATGCATCACGCCCAACGCGCGCGCTCAAATCGCCCAGCAGAAATAGTCGGTCGCTCCTCTGCATAGACCGTATCACGGAGGATAGCAGAATGTAGAATGAATCACGCGTGTCATCAGGATAACACATGGTCGGACCGTACGTGCTTATAAAAGTGGCAAACTTACCTCTTCCGAGTCGTAGGCGAACAGTCATCAGTCGCAAGCTGATGCCTGTTGGTTCACCCACCAGCTGACCATGGAGGCGGTCGGATATTGCGAATCCGACTTCATGATATATATATATATATATATATATATATATATATATAAAGGCATTACTACTGTTGGAGTTCTACAATGGATTGATGAATACATTCGGAAGAAAAACGAAAAAGATCAGCAAATTTGTTTCCATGGCTATATGGATCCACAGCGCAACGATTGCATGATGATTCTTGTCACGTCGAAGAGGGTTTGCAGTCACGCGTGTTGGTGCTTATTGCTTTTCCCGGATCGGGGTTTGGGGATGCCCGATAACACCCAACTTTGAGGTTATCGCCTCCATAATTGAAGTCCGTCATTCGTCGGTATTTTTTTCATTTCCTGCCGGCTTATGCACGCTCGAAAAAGTTAAGGCGGAGTAAACGCTGAACTGGCATGCGAAGCACGTGCTCAAGTCTCCGAAGCCTGTGCACTGTGATAATGCACCTCAGCGGTCGACAGTGTTTGTTTGATTTGAAGATCCTTCGACGAACTTCACCATTACTAGTGTGATGTTACCATTGGTCCCCCAGCAATGCTCAAAAGGTAGCGATGCTTAAAAACAAAGATCCTCTGCGCATCTTTCACGCGGGCAGGCCCAGCAAGACCACTCTCGTGTTCGTATTGTGGACTTGGACCTTCAGAGGGTGACTGAGGTCGGTTTCACATGAAAGTCTGTGGAAATTAATCAAAGCAAAGTAATTTGTAAGAAAGCAACCCGAGCATAAGAGATGCTCAAAGTGATCTCATCTGTTAAACCGTTTGTACTCATACAGTTTCCGCGATAAACTTACTTGTCCACCACTTTCATAAGATAACCCAACCTACGCATCATATTTTGAGCGACTTGCAAGGAATGGCAAATTACGGCGATGTTTACATACTCCAAGTCGCGACCTCGATCCTTCGAAAGTAAAAGGCAACTGGGTTCGCATTTGTCTAGAGAACTCTCCAAAATATCTTCCATAAAGAAGCTGAACGGCAAGGGTGATGCCGGATAGCCATGTCTCACGCCACTGTTGAAATGGAAATGGGACTGTACACCCACACTCAGGAATAAATGAATTAGATAATGTTTGCATACCATCTTTAACAAACAACTTCATAGGCTAATTCGGTCAGCTGTGTCAGGCGTGGTTTTTATGTTTAGGAGAATGACAATTATTGACCAGCGGAATATTTGACGACGCTCGAGTATTTGGCAGATTGATACATCTCTGACCTGGAGGGAATCTAGCATGCTCTTCGGCTGGGTTCTGTTTGAGTACCAGGCTGAATCTCCTTAACAGCCGGGGCTGAACACTTCAGATGCAATGTAGATGAGACAGATCCCTCGATGTTTGTTACAGTCTGTTCGGGTACTCTTTGAAGATGAGCACGATACCCACTATGGTCCAGTGCGACGGAAGTACTTCAGTGGTGCAAACCTCTTATTGCACCTCTATCTTCGAAAGGATCCGGAGGGAATTCATCTGAGCTGGTGGCTTTGTAGCGCTTTAGGATAAGAAACTCATGATCAGCTTCTGTCACAGATGGTTTTGAATCGTTTATATGCCTGAGATCATTTTAGGTTCCGGTGCTGAAGGTCAGTTAGACATCTGCTCAAAATTCTCAGCTCTACCTACAAGTCGACTCTATGGACAGTGGATTGCCTTCTCATTGGTTTCGGACAGCATTTCTCTTTTTCTCGGCTTTTAGTCATCGTTGGATCGAAACAGGAGGAATAGCCTACTCATCTTACCAGAGGTGATCACCTGCTCCGTTTCGATGACCCACTGCGTCCATTAGACCTTGCGATCCACCCAGAGAACCTGCTTACTGTCGTATTTGGTAGTCCCTCTCAGTGAATGAAATCCAACACCGGCGGAAATTACTTGACGGTATTCGAGACGACGGTGAGATCTTGCAGATATCCAGTGATTGACAGAACTACTAGTGAAACCACAGATCATGGTTTCACAGTTGTACATGGCGCTGCGAATTTGTGCCCAGTGCATCCCAGTGTCTGAGCGTAAGTCATTCTGAGTTTCTTGAGGTCAACACATCCTGAAAGGCGCTACGAACGTTTGGGGCATGAAGTTTTCCCATGTCAAGCCGTTTCCGACGACATTATTGGGTGCCACAGAAACCTGGAGCTACCTTTCACATATTAGCGAGTGATCCAGAGAGGTAGGTTTTCCATATTGATTTCCAATCCATTATGCAGCCCCACCAGCGGTAAATGATGGCGATGTGGCCAATTTGCATCTACGGCTGGCCAGGCGATGAAGTTCTCTAGGTGGCATGTTGGCACCGGGACCCACGAGAGCTAGTGCTCGAGAGAAATAGACCATGACCGGCTCAAAGCTAAGGTAGACGATCACCGTTGTCTGTCTTACGAATACCGTGACTTGTTGACTACTGAGTTGACTTTCGTCGATTTCAAGTCTGCCGACTTTCGCATTTAACTTCTCGATAGACCGCCTCTATGTCCTTGCGGCCGTTTTTGCGGAGGAAGTCAGTGATGTGACAGTAGGAGCCATCTTTAACTGAGTACTCACAGCTGCAGTCTGTGGGAATATGCTCTGCTGAAACGAACAGCAACTTCTTCTGGCTCCGTGGTTGGATAGTCGTACTGAGTTGGATCGCACAGATTCGGCTATCAGGAAACCATTTTAGTAGCCTAGCCTCAGCACGTGTGCAGCGAACGGGCGGACAATCACACGCTACCAATGCCTTCCTTGATATGCCAAAATGACGGAGGAAATCGTTTTCATTGGTCGGATAGCCTAGAATTGACTCAAATCAGCGTGAACGAAACAGCTGCGTCTCAGTTGGTTGGAAGTCTGGCAGCTTCATCTACCGTTAGCAATTATCTGGCTCTGACGAATCGAAACTGAGATCAACTGGTCACGTGTTGGCTTAACAGAAGCCTCTTTCAGTAAAAACGTTAACACCAAAGCACCGCACGATTAAATTCCGGACAAATTTCTGCATATTCTCAAGTGCGTACTATAGAACACGTGAAAATTAATAGCATCATGAAGAGTTAAGAAAGCTGAGATAGCAAATTCACCAACATACGTACACCCACGTACACGCGCACACACTTCTTTGTCAATTCATCAGCTGGCTTACTACCAGAGTAGAGTCAGTGAGACGAACGCATCCTTCTGGACACACCGACTAGGGTCAAGCTGTTTGATTGCGACCACCTCAGCGTATCGCAGCACATGGGTGTTGTTTGATGCGTAGATCACATGGGGTCAACACAGTGTTTGTCGGTCAGAAGATGGCGGGCGATGGATGACGCAGGCGTCTTAAAAGGTTGACCATTTGCGTTCTTTGCCTGCGCATGTTGGGTGGTGGACGGTGCTAGGTTCGAAATGTGATTCTTGACCCACGCTGGGATATGCTCCACGATTCTCACCCGCAACTTGCGCTCTGTCATGCATATGTAAGTGGCCTTGCAATTACAGGTAAATTTGTAAACGAAACCTAATTACCGAGTCTTTCGTTCCTCGTGCCAACTCTCAGCAATACCATCTATCTCTATATGTGTTGTTTCATTTAAACTTTATTAATAAGTACTGATGTGCTGTCGTTGTCAATGATAATGACGCTAATGCTTGCAAGAGACGAACCACGGCTACGATTCTGTCTACTTTTCTGTTCCTTATGGATTCTTGTTGACCCACAGATACTAGATTCCGATCCCCATCGGCTCTAGTTTAATTTTTCGATCCGCCTAACATAAACACCCCCAGGCAAAGTGCCTTCTTTCATGACGCCGTGTTCAGCGAATTCCGGCCGAGATTCGTCGTTTGGTCAAATAACTGCTCTGTCTCCACTCGGTACACTCGGTGTTCTCCTATTCCTATAAACTGTCAGTTACCTGTGATTCAATTCCACACAGATATTATTCCTGAATTGTAACGAAAATGCGATTTCTCAGTCTGCATTGTGACCACACTTGCATATTTAAGTACTACACTGTTGTATCGGGCAGTTTTCCAACTCCTACGGAGATATGTGATGCTGGTAGGAACCGAATTGGGGGATAGTTTTATACGGCCTTCGAAATACGAGCAGGGGTACGGCATGAACTGATAACGCTATGTATACACATATTTGGGAGAGTCAAACGCACCTTTTCTCACTTTAAACCGGAGGACTAAGATAATTTTTTAAATCCCCAATCTACCATTTCTCCGTCGGATGTCTTTAACGTCGTCATCTATTACATATTATCTGCTTTCCTTGTAAACGTCGTTTATCGACGAATCTAATTGCGCTGTGCAGTACAGTCATGTATGTAACGCTGTGTCCCCCCCCTCCCCACTGTGATGTTTGCACCGAGCCGTTGACACTTCACACTCATGCGTTGTTTCTACTCAGTGATCTTCCGGAAGCACAATCCGAGTGTAAGGCTGCATTTGAAGGAGCAATTCAGACAGATCCGAGCAATCCACAAGCATGGTTAGTGGCAGCTAACTTTTACACGGTCACAGCGAACACAGAGGTATGTTTCGTTTAGGGCAACATTGTTACTAACTCTCTCTTTGTTTACTCTCTCCGATTCCACTGCTTTTCCAATACTCTATCCGAGCTTTATCTTTTGCTCTTCGGTTCGAGGGATGACGCACCATTGACATACGTTTATGCTCGAACATACCTTTGGGAACATCGCACTTGTATTCATCTCGTCTGCTGCTTCCTTTGGAGCTCAGATTTCACTGTGATGGTTTCATTTAGTTCAGAAAGGTTATCCGCTGGCTTCACCTAGTCTAACTGTCCTTTATGTACACTTCTTTTCTATTTCATCCCTGTCAATCCTGCATCCAGGCCGCTCGTGAAGCAATTCAACGCTGTCTCGATCTGTGGTGGCCAAAGCTTGAAAACATGCTCAACGAGGAATCGACAGATGCAGCTAATGCAGCCTCCACTGATGTATCCGCACTTGTCAATGGGTCCGCGATTGACACTGACACAACGACGATCGAAGAGCCCCTTGGGCGCGGTCAGAAAATCGACCTGGAAGAGGTAGTGTGGCAAATGGTGCTATCTGCCATTTGGCCTTTTACGCTGGCGGTGTCCAGCGTTTTTCACGTATCACTTGTCGTTGTTTGCCTCCCTTGGTCATATCCCCGGTTTTTTTGTAACTACTTTTCCCACTTGTTGCTGACGTCACATATTTCCGTCAAACTTGCACAGATTTCGCCTGAACGCGCCTCTGTAGCAGTCTCAACAATACTGTATCTATGCGAAAACGCAAACTGTTCAAGTTACAGTTGAGCTGTCCTCAGCGCAAATCACACAAACTAAAACCTGAGCTGTCCTCTGTGACACCGATTTGTCTACCGCTCAAGCCCACTCTGACTTTAACTGGGCTCTCCCCCATTGTACTGCCACTTCGTTACAAATCGTGTGCCCTGCTGGCATTCATTCTTCTCTATACCCTATACCTTGCACTGTTATACTGTTGGGTTATAAGTGCGGTGTAGAAGACACTTTCACCCTTGGCTTAGCCAGCAACCGAACTTTGAAGACGGGCTCCTCTTTCTTCCTGCTTTTCGATCGCGGCCGTACGGGGTCGCATGTTTCGTTTGCAGTCTCAACCCGTCTGGCGACTAAATTTCTTAATCCGTATCCAACCGAATTCGACTGGATACTCTCTGTATGTGGTACTACCTGCGGAAAGCGCTCGCGTCCTTTCTGACTAGGTGGGTCAAAGCGACTAAGATATTTATCACATTTCTTTTATGACCAAACCACTCCGCGCTCTGCAATTTCTCTCTCAATTGACTTCTTTTGAACGCCCAGTGATTACGCTCTGTGGTCGGATTGTAGTGGTTCTCGATCATGTGATTCTACCACTTTTCGTTACTTAGCGTCAAATCAAAGACAGACATCTTTCACGTTTCTGATCGTGCTAATTTTCAACATGTCAGTGACTGACCTTTACTTTGGTACTCTCAGAATCCTGCGTCGCCGGAAATTTCCCTACCGATTTGTTGGCGCTTTCCGACATTCTGGTGCGATCCATCTCTGTTCGTGGTGTGTTATGTCTCCACGAAATCCGATTAAGGCAATTTAACAGCAATCCTCTTTATCTTGTAAAGACTATAAAAATATCTGCAACTTGATTTCGCATTTGGTTCCTTCCTTTTCACCATGCCACCACTGGCAGCTTCATAGGCAGCACGTTGAAATCGCCAACTTCCTTGTTTTTACCATAAATAAATAAATGTTTTATTTTTTG